TATAAAATACACATTTTTAAACTAAAATATTCATTTTGTGTGTTTATATACTAATTTCTTTTGTTATTTTCTTATTTGTTAGGGTTTAATCAACACAAACATTGCTTAATGCTATATTGAACCCTCAAAGACTCGAAAATCTGAACCAATAAGAAAGAACGTAAAATGTTGTCCAATCAACATATTTTCTTCTTTTTCTTTACTAATTTTGTGTTTTTATATACTAATTTCTTCTTCTTCTTCTTCCACCTTTTCTTTTCTTCTTTTCCTATAACAGAAATAGGGGTTCAGCCCCTATATTTTTCGAATTTTCTTTTCTTTCTTCTTTTTCTTCTCATGAATATGTTGGACTATGTTGATTTTCTATACTTTAACATAAAGTTTATACTTTTCTTATAAATATTATTGATATTTATTAAGGAAATATGATTATGGAACCTAGGGAACTACCCTAGGGTACATGTTTTTACTTAAAAAAAAATCCATCGCCTAGGTGACTAGGCGCCCCCCTATCGCCCAGCCTTGCCTTGGCACCTTGAAAACTATGTTGCATTGTTTGACTAGGATTAAAACTAAGTATATATCATGCGTCGAAAGCCTTTCACAAGTTTAGGAACTTCTTCCCTTGAGTGCATTGGGTAAACCCAAGTGTATTGAGAAAAATCATCTTTAAATGAAATGGAATACTTGTAGACATTCTCAATTGGAATATTAACAAAGCCCCAAACATCAGAGTACACAAGATGAAAAGGAAAGTCTTATCTTTTATTATGTAAAGGATATGATATTCTACAATGCTTACTTAACTAGCAGACTAGTAAAAAAAAGAAAAATTGATGTGGAGATGTATTAGAGCAGCTGCATTGTGGACAATCTGGGAAGAAAGGAATGCAAGGATATTCAAGGAAAAGGAAAGAAGCATTCAGGCTGTTTAGGATTGTATTTTGACTAGGACCATTCATTGGTTGAGAACTATGGACTTCTTTCATACCTTTTCCTTTGATGATATTTGGAGAAATTGTATAGCGGTGGCTAATAGCCATACAAGGAAGGACACGGAATCTGCAATGTGGATCCCCCCACCTGAAGGATGGGTAAAGCTGAACTTTGATGGCAGCAGCCAAGGGAAACCTAGGCCCACTGGGGATTGGAGGGGTGCTGAGAGACACGGAGAGCAACATCTTAGCCTTGTTTTCAGGCCCTGTGGGAATAGGAGACTCTAATAGAGCTGAGATTTTAGCGGTGGTACAAGGTATTCAGATTGCAGAACAGTTAGGAGTTCAGCACCTGGTAGTGGAAGGAGACTCTCAGATTGTTGTGGGATGGCTGACAGACCCAGCTTTAGCCATGTGGAGACACAGAGATTTATTGAGGAAAGTCAACTGGCTTACAAGAAACATGATTGTTACCTCTCTTTGGGTGGGAAGATCAGCAAATACCTTAGCGGATGGTTTAGCTAAGTAGGGGGCCACAAGGGGAAATTTATTTTGGGCTGCTCTGTAATTTTACTTCTGGCTATTTTTGTTTTAATTTGATGTAATAGTTTTTTTTTTGAAGAGGTAACAACTCGTGCCTCTTCTTGGGTTTGCTGTATTGCCTTTTTTCTGATTTAATGAAATTATCTTCATTCATCAAAAAAAAAAAAACTAGCAGACTTGACACTGAAACTCACTGACAAACATAGACTTGAACAATTTTGGAAAGAAACATTTCAAAGACTCAAAAGACATATGACCCAATCGATGGCGCCACAAAACAAATTGACTCTTACTTGATTGACTCAATCCCAAAGACTCAGAAGCTGAAGCTGCAAGGCCAACTATATCCTCAATACATTGAGACCATAAACCGTGTTCCCTCCACCAATCGTCCTCCTAGAGGTCAAATTCTGAAAAACACAAGAATGTGGAAGAGAGGAAGGGCATAGATCCTGAACAATTCAGGGCATGAGTAATATTGCTAATGGACAACAAATTTATAGGTGATTTTGGATCGTGTAAAACATTACAGAGAGGAAGGGCATAGATCCCCAACCAGCAATGGAGAAGGATCCATCTGCTAACCTCACTTTATCTCTGCTAGAGAGTAGGGCATATGAATGGATAGAGTAGACTTACCGGTCATATGATTTGAAGCACCAGAATCAATAACCCGTGGGGATTCCGGAATGTTAGAGGTCACATGAAAAGATGAGATTGAGTTACCTGAGGAGGATGCAAAGGAGGTCGAAGGTGTAGGTCTAGGAGCAGCCTGTCGGAGAGCCCTACAATATTGTTCCAAATGGTCATAGAAGGAGTTGATAACATCTTCCTTAAGATCAGAACTTTGGGTGGGGGGGGGGGCATGGGATGCTAAGTTTTCTGAAGTATATTTCTGATTTGGTTTCTTGTCCTCTTCTTGTCCTGACCTTTTTCCTAGTTCTTGTGCCCACTTCAGTTTTCCAATCAATTCCCAACAAGTTTCACTGGTGTGCCTAGATTTCTGACGATGAGTACACCACAATTTTTTGTTGTCATTTGTGCCCATCTCTTTTTCCCGAATTTGTGTTTCCTTTCACAGCTAAGACAACATTCTCCCTCTCAGGAGCATTCATGGCAGACCTCCTACTTTCTTCTAACTGGACTAATGCATATACCTCTTGAACAGAAGGGAAGTCCTTGCTTCCCAAAATCTGCACTCTAATGTGTTCATACATGGGGTTGAGACCCAATAGGATGGCAAAAACCCGTTGTTGAAAGACTAGTTATTTGTAAGCTTTTGCATCTTTATCATTCTCCCGCTCAATACTTTGATAGTAGTCTAACTCTTTCTAGACTGAAGGGCTGAATAGTATGTGGATAAACTCCTTTCCCCCTGCTTGCATGTTGATGATTCTACTTGTAGATGATAAATCCTAGCATAATGCCTTTGTTCTGAGTATGTTGCCTTTGCTTGTTCCCATATTTCTTTAGCTGTTTTGGCCCACATAAAATTCTGTTTAATAGAAGGCATCATGGATGTCAAAAAGCCATGACATAATCATGCAGTTTTCTTGGTCCCACTTATCATGTTTAGTCGTGCCAGATCTAGGTTCCTTTACCTTCCCATTAATATGCCCTGACTTACCTCTGGCTGTAATATGCAGCCGCATCTCCTTAAACCATGCCGAATAATTCCACCCATCCAAGGGAGTGATAGTCATGGGAAAACTCAATGTATCATTCCCACCATTCGGTCCACCCTGATTTGATGTATATATATATATATATTAAGAGAGAGAGAGAGAGAGAGACCACCCACTCACAAATGATGGCAGGAACCCTAACAGAATTGAAACACCACTCCCGAGAGGTATTTCTGAATACAAAAATCACACCCAAACACAGCTGCTCCTGTCATACACACATAAAGGTCTTTCAGACCTCTCTAAGCCACACAAGCATCAACAACCTTACTGCAGTTGAAGAATCAAAAAGAAATTTCATTAAAATAAGAAAAAGGAATTACATCCTAGCACCATTGGTTGTCTAGTTGACACACCAGATACATTCTAAACTTCAAATTGAAAAGGATGCTTCATTACAAGGTTGTAAGTCAAGGGCATTCCAGAAACTTTCCAGCAAATCAGCTTTGGAAACTTGATCAAAATCTGGGAGTCTGAGTACCCTGTCTGGGATCAGATTGCTCACTGCAGCTACCATGTATTCTATACTTTCAGACCTGTTCTCGAAAACCCTTCTGTTTCTCTCCTTCCAAATAGACCAGAAACTGCAAAAGGAACACGGCTCCAAACAATCCTGGCTTTCTTACTGCCTCTGAGCTTTGGCCACAAGGTGAAGATCTCTGCTGGAGTCATTGGTTGGAAGACACTCATCCCAAATAGAAAGGAGAAGAACTTCCATATGAAACTTGCTATGCTACATGAGAAGAACAAATGGAGGACTGTTTCTTCTTCCTGATTGCATAAATAACACCAGCTGGCCAGATGCAGTCCCCTGGATTTCAGGTGATCAGAGGTAAGCATGTTGTCATGTGCCACCAGCCAGGCGAAGGCTTCTACCCTTGGGAGAACTGGGTTACCCCATACTCCTTTTAACTGGTCTGAGCCCATTTCTTCTCTTACTAATGCTTTGTAGAATGACTTAACTGTAAATCTGCCTTGCATTCTTTCCACCAGAAACCATCTTCTGTAGATCTAGAAATGCTGGTCCCTTCTAATTTTTCCAGAAGCATAATGCACTCTACAGATTTGGATCTCCAGATCCACACGAAAGGGTTAAAATCTCTCCTCACACCATTCGGCCAATGCCCAGATCAGCCTGTTCTTGGATTTACTACCAAGAACCAGGAGTTAAAAAAGGGTTTAAACTTTCACCCCTGTTCTGTCCGAGTGAATGTTTTGAAGTTCCAACCCAAACAAATATTGTAAGAGGAAAAAAGAGTCACCAACCTCTAAAAAGGCACTCAACCGATCATCCACAGATCTCTGGATGTGTCCTTTTAATGTCCTAGCAAAGGTAGAGAGAAAAGGGAAATAGCCGAAGTGTTCTCAGTCCTGGGCCAAAGCTGTTCTTTCCATTCTCAGTCCAAGGAAGGAGAAAAGAAGGCTACAATCAGATCAGAGAAGGTCTAGACTGTATCGTCCCGCCCTGATACCATGTTTTCCAGAAGAAGAGAAAAAATATGAGGAAGCAAAAAGTTCTGGGTGGTGGCGCCAGAGGTTATATTTATATTATAGGGCAACTAAACATAAAATAAGCTGAAAAGACAAAAACACCCTTGTGACACATAACAGAATAAAATACATTACATCAGGTTCCTTAAATTTAAATTATGAATTAAGGAAATTATAGTGGATTTGAAAATATTATGTTGATCTGGTCGTTTGTACTTTGTAAATCTCTGGTTTGTGTTTTGTCACTAGGCACTCTTTAGTCACTAGGATGATGTGTTTGAGATGGGTATAAATCTTGATTAATTACCATTTTCTTAATTCCATTTCGTTTTCTTGCTTCTTCTAGGTTTTGTGCTATTTGGGACCTCTCTTTCCCAGGAATGTCAGTTTATTTTGGCAAGATGAGGTATGTGACTTAAGTAGGAATCTTTGAAATACTGGATAGTTGATGTTTCTCTGTGGATGTTAGTACACTTTCCTTTTCATGCCAAAAGCATTTGTGATTCTTAGTAGACTATTTATAGAAAGCATGATTTTATATGTTTCAAAATAAATTTATAAGAGTACAAATTGTACTATAATGTTAAAAGTGATAACTGCTGTAAATTTAGCAGTTAAATTGATTGCATAGTGAAATTATTTGGCTGCTGATTCTGATAATTGAGTTTGTGACTAAAAATTTGTATGCTAACAAACAAATTCTTTGTTGTAATGAATTTGAGACCTAAAATTTACCTAGTTTGGATGCAAGAACATGGACAAGCACAACTTCTGTTATGACCTGTGGTGGGGGGAAATTCCCCATTAAGGTATCTCTTCATGTGCCTCTTTTCTCATGGAGCTCTCTAAGGGTTCTAAATTCTCAATTGGGCTTCTGGTTAAGGCTATTTGGAGAGTGTTGGTCCCTCCAAAAGTTAGGTCTTTCTATTGGGAAGTTTTTCATCTAATGGTTAGTACTTGTGATCTTCTCTAGAAGCATAGGCCTTCCTGGTGCTTATCACTTCATATGTGCTTCCTTTGTAAAGCTTGTAGTGAATCTTCTTTTTATTTGTTAATCTTCTGTCTATTTGTGTCAAATATTTGGAAAATTTTTGGATGAAGTAGAATCTCTAATAAAATTTGGGAGATCTTTTCAAGGACACCTCACCTTCCAAGGAAAGGGGCAAGATTACATGGAAATGTAGATGGGATACTGTGGTTTGGACAGTGTGGGAAGAAAGAAAAATAACAACTTTCAAGACAAGTGTCATATTAATGAAGCTCTTGTGGAGAATTCAGGAATGGCGAGAGTTTTTCAAAGATAGCCAAGTGTCATGGACCTAGTCTCCAACGAGTGTCTCATGCAGCACTTGGGCAACAGTCCGTCACAACACAAGTCTGGGTTCCCGTCTAGGTTGCACTCCCAGCTCTTAGGAACAAGTTAGGCACCACATTCAACCCACACACTTAGGCAACTTTATGGACAAGCATACACAATTCTTGGATGCCCCACCAAATGAGAGGCCCCTCCTTAAATAGCCCTTGGGCTGTACAATGAACGGATTAGATATGTACATTTGCCATACACTTAATCAGCAAGGTTCAATTCTCACAAAGTTTGACCTACATCAAGTTTTGGAAATGAGCTGCGCCATCTTCAGTTTGAAACTTAAGTTTGGCTGATTTCTTGGGCATGTTATACCATCTTGGGAGCTACATTTGTGGCATCTTTATCAGGTAACATTCTTTCCATGTTTTGGAAATCAAATTGGTTGATTATCCTTGATCGATCCATAGAGAAAATTTGTTTTCTCCTTGAAATTCGATATTATCTTGATTGGGCTGAAAGAACTTTTGAAAATTCCATGCTTCCCACCATCAAGGTCCGACCTTTTTGGGTCTCTTACAGTCCCATTCAACACAACTCAACCATTTTGTTTCAATGGATGCCCAAATCAGTAAATGAGGTGGCAGATGTACTATGAATAATGGGGTTTAGGTGAAGATGCACACTCAGCATTGCTCCTTCTGTATTGTCTCTTTGGGGTTGGTGGTCTCTGTTTTTTGTTATCCTTATGTGGATCTTTTTTTTTTTATATATATTAAGTTAGTTTCTGTTGTTCATCAAAAAAAAAAAAAAGAATGATGTTGTACATTTTTTTTTCTGGGTGGAACATCTCTCGTCTGACAATGCTGTGGTGCTTACTATGATTTTCTCACTGATAGGTATTGAAAGATATAACCAATCTCTTGTATAATGGCTACCAGCATGTCAGTCATCTTTCAACAAGTTTTTTGCGCAGACAATGAGTCATTTGCAGTTCCTGTTGTGAAATCTGTATAATGTCTGGGTTCACATTGGATAGCAGTCCCAAGATCTCACCACAAATAATACTATTAGGGGTTAGGATACATGGCTGCTTTACCCACTTTGAGAAGCATTCCTGTTGCTTTAGGCCCTCCTTTGGTCCTTCCAAGGATTTATCAAGGGTTAATTTGAGTTAAATATAATAGGACAACATGTTTAATATACATATATAATATGTATACACACACAGGCCCAGTCTGCAAATTTCCAGGTTTGATGCAGGCTGGACTGGGCCTGGACAGAATACCTAGGCCCAAGCCCAGAAATTTGCAGGTTGAGCCAGGACTTTCTTCCACGAGTTGAGTGACAGGTCCGCAAAATCAATTGCGGACATTTGCCAATGACTTGGTTGATTCCTTGGCTTGTGATGGGGTTTCTAGGGGGTGAGCTGTATTAGTTTCTGTCTTATCTTATTAGGGAACTTTATTTTTTTTATGGTGTTTGGGAATCTGTAGAGTGACAGCCTTTGATTTTGTGCTTCAATCTGGTTTTTCTTGCATTTCTCTACTAGTACTATTTTCTTTTTCTTCTTTTTCATTAATAATTTTAGTGATCTTGTTACTAATCCAACACTAGAAGTATATATATCTTAATATGGTGATGTGCAAAAGGATCTTATTAAGTCTTTGTTTTGGTAAGCTCTAGATTCCAAAAATGAAGGCATATGTCAGTGATACGGAAGACTTGAAGCAGGACCCTGCTTATCAAGAGACTTGGGACAACATGATTATTAATGTAAGGTTTACTGAATTTGGAAGCATTCATCTTATTGTTATACTACTGCTGCTACCAAAGACTGATTTTGGTTAAAATTTACTTCAATTATGTTAATCACTGATTAGAATTGATTTTTAGGTATTAAGGTGCTAGTATTTTATTTTCTTAAAAGCATGATATTAAAGTCTTTTGTTTTTCAATGCAAATTTGGTGTTTTGGCTTCTAGTTGCTCCGAAAGGTCGTCAGGTTTCATTGTTAGCTACCTGCATGACATTTTCCCTTTGGTTCCTCTCTAAGAGACATGGGCTTGAGCAGTGATGGGAGTATTTTAACATTAACTTGAAGCTAATGAGGCAGAGTTTGAAATTATTGTGCCATGTTAGATTTTCCATATGAATTTCACAAAATTTTTTCACATATGATTTTCCATATGAATTTCTTTCACCATGGTGGTAAGGGTTTGGCTGAAATGTGTGAACACTAGAAATTTCACAAACCCTCTGATTAACTTTCTGTGGAAAGGAAAACCTGGAAGTGGCCCTTGAGAGTTTTCATTCCATACTCTACAATGTTGAGTTAACATCTCTAATTTGAATGTGGTAACATTTTTTGTTCTGGGTGAATTGTGACATATTACTAGAAAATGTGAAAAGCAGAAAGAAACAAAATGATGTTCTCACAGATACCGTCATCTGACATCAACCATCTAGAGATTAAGTGAAACTACATGGAGTATGAGGTGGGACTTCACATGTGCTACAGTCCTTAGAATTTTGAGATTGGAACATGGATTTTGAGGGAAACTAATGCATCATGACTTCTTATTTTGATGAACATTTTGTTTAACAGCATGCATCTGACATGTCTACGTTAAACAGTTTCTTGCAGAATCTTTGGATGTGATTCAAGACCCTGAATGGTTGATATCTTTGGGAAATGCTTTTACCAAACAATATGAACTTTATACATCTGATGATGAACATACAGCACTACTTCATAGGTACTACTTTATATGGATATTCTTTCTTGGTTTTTAGATATTTTCGGAACTACTATGATGTTTTCAATTAAGCATATTTGTGCTATCTTCTCAATAGTTCTAGTGAGTGAGATGTTTATTCTAAGACATGACACCCCTCCTAAAACCATGGTGAGAGAAATGCTTATTTTAACATATTTGTGCATGAGGCTCCCACCAATATGGGGTGTGAGGAGGTATGCTGCCTTACCCCTGCACATACAGAGAGGCTGTTTCCAAATTCCAAGATTTGAACCCTAATGCAAACACAACTTTTGTCTCCCTCATTTTTCAGATAAAACTTGTTACTGATCAGTGAAAGAAGGGGGTCTCTGAAGAGAACTGTCAGATACTTCTTTTCCTTGAAACATAGTAGGAGCCTTTACAAATATTGTTACCACATTTTGTGTGCAGATGCCTGGGAATGCTTCTCCAGAAAATTGATGACAGGGCATATGTTCGTGAGAAGATTGACTGGATGTATAGACAAGCTAATATCTCGGTGCCCACAAATAGGCTTGGTCTAGCGAAAGGCATGGGGCTGGTATGCCTGCTTACTGGTTTGATTGCTCTTTATTATATTACTTTCCATCTTTATGATTCACAAGTTCTGTTATTTGCAGGTTGCATCCTCACATTTGGATACTGTATTGGAAAAGCTGAAAGATATTCTTGATAATGTTGGACTAAACTTTTTCCAAAGGTTACACATGATATCATCAAGGAGGAATTCTTCTTTTACATAATTTTGCAACTGCTTTGTTGCCGGTCAACTGCTTGAACCTTCTACTTATTACCACTTCTGTGATTTTTTAATAGTAAGTTAAATATTCTATTAAAAGAACAAATGACAAAACAAGAAGAATACAGGTCCCTAGCCCACTAAGATAAGAAGGATAAGAAAGAAAAACCCCTAGCAGGGAGGAGTATAAAAGAGGAACTAGTCATGCTTAGACTCCTCTACATATTAGCACTGTGCAAGTTTTAAAACGTGTCTTCAGTGGAAATGTCAACTGGTTAAAAATATGAAGTATTTGGAAATATCGAAATTTTGTATAGATATACTGTAGAAGTTTTTTATCATTGTGAAAACTAATCTATGAAAATATTTTTTGATATTTAAAAACACATTCTCTTTTAAATAACTGCATTATTATAGTGTGATAAAAATGATGCTTTTGAAATAATTACACCATTTCAAGGGCATAAGTTGTTGCTGTGATAGAAGTAAGAAGAGTAAAAATGAAATACAAAATTTGATCATAGAAGGGTATTCCAAGGTGGTGGTGGTAGGATGGTTGAGGAATCATGAGGAAGCACTCTGGACATAAATAGAAATGAAATTAAAAGAATTAGATGGCTGAAAGGAGGGTGTTTACCTTACTGTTTCAAAAAAAAAACAGCGTTGTTTTTGTAGCTGATTCATGCATTGGAAAACAAGAAAAAAGTGTTACGGGTACAAAGTACAGTGTTAAATTGTTGATTGTTGTCATTACATGTAATTGCCACTACGCACCTCATAGGACAAAACGCCCACACAACACCCCCCTGAGCAGGAAACATCATCCAAATGGTGTTTCCTTCAAAAGTCACTTTAACATGACCCAAGAAAAGACAAGTACAAAACATGTACTTGATCAACCAACCAAACATGATTTTGGTTTGTTCAAGTGGAAATGCCTATGTAGTAGTGAAAAGGCTCCACAACACTAGCACAACACCACAATACCAAATACCACCAAGATGTATGATAGTGAAAGTGTAGTGGGTTCAAATATCAGCTAACTATATGGCTGATACCTTAGCAAGGCAAGGGGTGGTGAGGGATCAATTGTTTTGGGCTATGTTGTAATATGTATTAGTGGGCACAGGATGTAGCCTCTGTAAAATAGAATGTAAGCTTGTACATATTCTTCTTATTTTAATGAAATTCCTGTTAATTATCAAAAAATTATTATATATTATATTATTATTCATTGATGCTTAGTCGTAAGTATTATTTTACTATGTTTAAGTCCAATATATTAAAATGCCAAGTATGCTTCATTAAATTATATAACTAAAAATATTAAAGGAAAATAAGAAGGGTGAGTCATCTATAATGGTAAACATGGAAATGTAATGGGTTTTAAGAAAACGAAGTCGTATTAGAACAAATTATTTGGATGATATCTATTAACATGTAAAGTCAAAACCTTATATTTGATAAAACTACAAAATAAGACTTGATGTGAACAATATAAAGGATTTTAGTGCATTGGAAAATATGTAAACTTATATTATGGTAATATTTCATGTCAATACCCATGTAAATGGAAATATGTTGTGGAAATATTTGGAAATAGACATTTTAAACCATGGGCTCAATACAAAAAACAAATCATGAAGGTTTTCTCTCCCTTCTGCCTCTTCCCCTACCTCTTTTACTCTTGAAAGCTCTCTCTTTTCATATCTCCTATCAAAATTCAAACCTCCTCAAATTTTGGCTATTATATTCTAGTTTGTAGTTATCTAGTAACTTGGAGAATCAAGAAGCAATTGGCTGTGGTTCATTCTAGGGCAGAAATAGAATACATGGCAATATCTGTGTCTTAAAGTTGTTGTGGTTGAAAACTTGGAGAATTGGGGCTGGTTGTTCTTAGTCTAATGAAGTCGTATTTTTATAATAAGGTAGGAACAATGTTTTAAAAGGCGTGGGAGGCGTATGCCTGGAGGCGCACCCAAAACGCCCTGAGGCGTATGCCAGAGGCGCTAACACCTCTAAGGCGTGCTAGAGGCGTACACCTCATGCACATGTTATATAAAAAGACAAAAAAAAAAGAAAAAAGGAAAAAAAGGAAAGGAAAAGAAAGGGAAGAGAAAGAAAAAGAAAGAG